ACCTCCACATGGTTTCATTTTGCAGCTGGGCTGCCCTCAGATCCCCCGCTAAAAGTGGCTAACTTTTAGTGGGTTAAATGGAAACCGCCACTAGAAAGATCTAAAAAGCTCAAAGGCCAAGGAACCGGATGGCTGGGAGCCAAGAAATGAACGGGTCTGCCACTCCGACTCCTGCGCTGGATCGATCTGCACCATCTGGGCGGGCACCATGGGGGTGAGCACCTCCACCTCTTGCCGCTTTTTTTTTGGAGAAACCGTCCCCCTCTGTTGGGCTGGTTTCAGGGGAAACCAAACGCTAAACACCTCTTCTTTTTGGGGGGGTTCCCCAACAGCAAAAAACCCACGCGCCCAGAAGGTATGGGTGTCATGTCCAGTGAGTCCTTTCATGTCCGTGAGTGCTTGGGGCCTCTTCCGGGACCTGGGCATTCCAAGTGAGTCACAATCAAAACCTTTACAAAAATGGTAAAGAATTAGAAAGTCGGCCGCAACTATTTCCGGCTGGGTCTTTCCCTGACTAACCTTCATCTACCCAGGTTTTGATTGTGGCTGAAGTGACGCCATCGGGCGCGCCTCGAAGCCAAGAAGGGCCCCCAAACCCCCCCGCCTCCGCCCACGTTTGGCATCCGATCCGAACTCCGAACGCCGGGCCGGGAACTTTTCTGGCTCTGAGGCCCTGAACAGGGATCCGGATGCATTATACACCTGAGCATTGCCTTGTAAGTGGTGGTTTCCCGTTTTTTTTTTTTTTTTTTTTTTTTTTTTTTTTTTTTTTTTTTTCCGGTGGAAAAAGCAACATGAATCAAATGGTTGCAAAGTGTATCTTTTAAGGAGCCCTGCTGAAGGGGCCTTCATTTGCATGGGGTGCGTGGCCGAGTCGTTGAAGCGGAACTGCTGCCCCGTCTGCGAGACCTCGGCGAAGGCTGAAACGGGTGCCTCGTCCTTTTGGTGAGGGAACCGTGTCTTTGGGTTGGAACAAAAACCCGAAGGACACTATCCACTCTTTTTGGGGGGGTACCCCCTTTCTTGAGACCCACCCAAGTATGGTTTGATCGAATGGCTTGCCACGCTTGGACCAAATGGAGCTCTGTGCAGAGCTCGTAATTCGCGGGGGGGGGGGGGATGATCGGAGCCCCAAGGATCGCATTCCCGGCTTGGGCTTGGCAAAACAGCGGTAACGCATGGCACTGTCCTCCTGCAGTGGAACAGCTGGGCAGCGCGCTGGTGCTTGCCGCTTCATGTCACCCCACCTCAGCTTCTGAAACGATGCAAAGGCCGCTTGAAACCGTTTCCACAGAACCAAAAAAACCAGCGCAAGACTTCGGGTCGTATTGTTTCCTTCCGTGCGGCACTCACCAACCCTGCACCAACTTCCACGAAGCCCTCCTGCTACTCGCAGATGGGGACCCTTCCAAAGGCAACAGGTTGCCCTTGAACTTTACTTCAACCGGAGGTGCTTTTCCAGTTACGGATGCAACGCCGGCGCCGGCATCACGACTGGCCACAAAGGAGCAACACATCATTTGGGGACATCGGAACGAGCTGCTCCTTTGCGGGTTCGCGCCATGAATTTGATCACTCAAAGTCACCCAGGAACCCGCTTGGGGCGCCGTTTGTCCCGCAAAAGCGGAGCGGAACGCACGCCCGAAACAGAGAGACTCCGGGGAAAACAGAACACGCCACCCCTCCCACCAGCTAAAACAAATGACCTGCATACCCACATATATGAACTGGTGAACACACATTCTCCATTTAAGGGTTGGCGGACCTAAATCCGCGTAATCATGTCCATCCGAAGGGCCTTCAGATCAAAACCAGAGTTTCTACTTCTCAGGTGCCCCAAAAGACCTGGACATAGGCGATCACCTTTTAGGACCTGGACTTATGGGTCAAAATCGCTCCTCAAACATGGCACATGGCACCAACGTGAATAAAAGCAAGGACCAAAATTTGCGTGACCCTAGCTCTTTCAAAAACTGAACCATACCCAAATGAGAAAACGCACGGCCAAAAGGTCGGTCGACTCGCTTTTGGGACCAGTGAGTCACAATCAAAACCTGGCATTAAAACGGTCTACCCAGAACCATGCTTCAAGAACTAACAAGGCGGATATCCGCACCCATGATGCACCTTGACTAAGTTTGATATGGGAAATGGCTCATATCGCTCCCTCCGTATGCCCTCTTGTTCCTTTGTCCAATTTATGACATCAAAATGTTACAACACCGACACTCTGGGCCTTGAGGAGCGACACAGGTCCCTGGCCATGTAACATGTTTTCACCGACTCACAGGGAGCAGAATTCGAAATGTCTTCCTTGGGGGCGGTTTTACGCTTGAGCCACTTGCTCAAAACCTGGGTAGAAGGTTGGTAAGGGATTCTCCTAGCCATAGAAACGGGGGAATCCTCCCGTACTGGTTGCCCCTGTATCCCTAGTTGGTTTCCCTGAATAAAAAACTCTTGTGGGTTTCATGGAACACCCCTTGACTCCCCAAAAAGTTAAAGGCTAGAGATCCAACCCAATAGCAAAGAACGCCCCCTTGTCAGACGGGATCCCGAGAAAGCCAAGACGCTTCAGCGACAGCAGCGCCCCCGGGGGCAGGCCTTCGCTGCCCAAGAGTACCACCTCGCGACGGTTCTCGGGTTCCCGGGGCAAGCGGATCCGGGCGGATCCGGGCGCTTCTGGGCGCTTCGTGGGATTTTTGGGCCTCCATTTGCTTCAGCCCGGAAAAAAAAGACCAGATTTCCAGTGATAGATTCCCTTTAAACACCAAAGGGGGGAAAATACAAACCGTCTTAAGCAAATCGACGTTGGGCTAGAGCTTGAGGCTGTGGGTCAGAGTTGTGTCCTTGACGTTGAATTCCTGACCGAGTCCAATGGCTTTCGAAACAACGGGTGAGCCAGACGGGTAGCAAGTTCCCGTCGAAGCATTTCTCGAGGGCTTAGGCCCGAAACGAAGCGGAGCAAATGGGACCCTAGCCTTCAGTTGTACGAGGGATGTATCATAGGTGTGCATATATATATATATATATGTAAATTCTGCTTTCCCCGTTCCACTGTGCGTGGCTTAGGGGAAGTACAAAGCATGTGAATGCTATCTTCGGATCAATCGATATGCATAATACACCAACGACTTGTTTCTCCCCAAGCGGTAGCCTTTTCTTCCGGTCCTGCCGCATCCGGAGTTGAAACTAATCTGTATCTATATGGGTGTATCTTTTTGAGGGTATTCTCTTTTGTAGTTTCAACGCACATCCACATTGAAAACCGGAGCCAATTTGGGTGTCCCCTAAAACAAGACTGACCCATCTGGGCTGTCCTCAGATCCCCTGCTAAAAGTTTGTAACCTTTTGTAAGATGCAAGCCAACTAAGAACCAACTAAGATCCTAGGGAACCAACTAACAAAAACAAATAAACCACCAGGATATGGACCGCAGGTTTTAGTCCATTTACCAGGGCAACCCATTTCGGGTGACCCTATTTTGCACACAGCCAAATAACAACCACGAAAAACCGACTAAGAACCCTAACCGACCAAACACCAAAGAGCAACCACTAAAAACCAAAAGCCAAAGAACCAACCTATGATACCACCAAAACTATATATATATACTAAAAACCCGGGTTTTCGCCAAGATGATTCTCCCGTCCCACGTCCTCGTTTCGGCGGTTTCGAATTGGCCTCCATTGCCGTCGCTCTTCGACGGCCGGCGCCTGCGAGCAGCAAGAGATCCAAGGAATGCGGGAAGACGTGGATCTGAATGTATGTGTATATAGATGTATACATAAAAAAATATATTTACACTTGTCTAGTTACTTATGTATCTAGTTTTATGTATCACATTCTTTTTGTAAACATATTAAATATATACATAGAGAGATGCATGTACAAGCGCAACGTGTCTCGCATATCTTTGGCGCATGTTAGAATACCATCTGGCCCCAATCCTGTCAACTGCGAACACCACAACCCGGCGCCTGGAGCTTGAGCGCAAACTCGCCGGCGAAGGTGCCAAAAACTTTTCGGGTCGCGAAGGTCTCTAAAAATCTGCTTCAGAGGACGCTCCCTTCGGGGTTCGGCCCAAAAGCTGCGAGATGGCGCCCATGAGCAAACTGCAAGTTGCACATCATTCGCGTTCTTTGCGTGGCGGTTCGCCACGCCGGGGAAAAGCGCGGGCGTGAGCGACCACCATCCAAAGATGACGCCTTATAGGAATGGCTGGGTCTCTTCGGGTTCCTGCAAAGAATAACAACTCATCCAGGGCTCCCTCATGTTCAGACACACGGTGGCACATTCTTCGAATCCCAATTTTCGGGGCTGGACACTGAAATGCAATTGGTGTTTTACGCCCCGAATGCCAAGCCCCATGTGCTATGGACCTACCAAGGCGGGAAACCCGAAATGTGAGTTCGACATTTGGCATCAGAACGAGTCGAACCCGTTTGGGGATTTGTCAAACCGACGTCTGAAAGCTGTTTGCAGGCGACCCTAGTCGTGACAAAGACAAACACATAGACACTCAGTTGGACATCCCGCATGCAGTCGTGTTTGATCATTCACAAGGCTCTCAGAAAGGAACCATTTGCAAACCGAGCCAACTCTGGTCAGCAAGGTAGCAGCATCAAGACAACACACATAGGTGTATACGGACAGTGTTCCACGTGATTCGGTTGATCAGAATGAAGGTGGTCTCAAAATCGCCACGTCATAAACTATAGCAGCAGGCAGCGGCAGCGGCAGCAGTAGCAAAGTCAACGGCGACCGTGATGATGCGACTGCAATAGCATCAGCAAGAGCAACAACTGCAGTAATGTGGATGAAAACAGCAATCAAAACAACAATTATAGCAATAAAAATAAACACAGTACTAGTGAGCACACCGATAGATAATAACCATGAAGACAATAATGATGACAATGATAATACATCCATTAATGTCCATGTATTGACAATTGGCTCATCCAGAAAGGCAATGGCACGGGAGGCATTTCTCACAAGCAGTCAAGATAATTCTGAATCTGACTGCTGTCACCGCCATCCCTAGGATCGCCCCACGTGACCAGAGAGTTGTTGTCCAGGATTGCAGCAAACGCTGCCTCGGTCGCTTGGATCTGCTGGACCCGCACCAGCTGCTGTTGAACCTCTTTGCAGTCGCCGCCACCTCTCGTTCTGCCCCAGGCCACAACAGAGCCGTCTTCCAAGATGGCCGCAAAAGCGGCATTCGTCGCTTGAATCTGCTGCACACGCACCAGCTGGTCTTGCACCCGGCGGCTATCACCACCACATTCAGGAACGCCCCAAGTCACCACTGAGCCATCGTCCAAAATGGCAGCAAAAGCACCCCAGGTGGTCTGGATCTGCTGGACGCGCACCAGCAGTTCTCGCACTTGGCTGCTGTCACCGCCATAGTCACCATCACCCCAAGTCACCACAGAGCCGTCATCCAAAATGGCAGTAAATGCACCCCACGATGCTTGGATCTGCTGCACACGCACCAGCTGCTCTTGCACCCGGCGGCTATCACCACCACATTCGGGAACGCCCCAAGTCACCACTGAGCCGTCGTCCAAAATGGCAGCAAAAGCACCCCACGATGATTGGATCTGCTGGACACGCACCAGCTGGTCTCGTACTTGGCTGCTGTCCCCGCCGTAATCACGATCGCCCCAAGTCACAACAGATCCGTCTTCCAGGATAGCAGCAAACGAAGCGTTAGTTGCTTGGATCTGCTGGACTCGCACTAGCTGGTGCTGAACCTGCCTGCTGTCACCGCCACGCTGTGGAAAGCCCCACGTCACCACAGAGCCATCGCCCAGGATAGCAGCAAAAGCATTGTCAGCTGCTTGAATCTGCCGGACCCCCACCAGCTGGTCTCGCACTTGGCTGCTGTCACCGCCATAGTCAGGATGGCCCCACGTCACCACAGAGCCGTCATCCAAGATTGCCGCGAAGGCTTCGCTGGTTCCTTGGATCCGCCGAAGCCGCGTCAGCTGATCTTGCACCTTGCTGCTGTCCCCGCCATAGCCCGGCCGGCCCCAAGTGAGCGCCGCGCCTCCCGCGACGTAAACCGCGAAGGCCCCCGCCGTGGACGCCAGCCGCGCCGGCTGCACCACCGCATCTACGCCATCCCCGTCCGAAACTCCCAGCTCGCGCAAGGTGCACGGCAGCTCCAGCTGCTGGCCTTGGAACGCCAGCCGCACCTTGGCTGCTGACCCTGCAAACAGCTCTTGTTTTTCACTTTTTTGGGGTTTAGTACGGAAACCCCAACTTGATTACAACCAACAAGTCCTGCTTGAGTCCACTTCTTGATTTCCAGCAAATAGCTGAAGTCTAAAGATCCGTTGCCCAATAGCAGTCAAGGCACGCAGCGGCACCGGAAGCTCCGCTGCACCTCCAGCTTCAGCTCCAGCACGCTGGACTCGGCAGACAGAATGCAGCGGCAGCTCTTGCCGCTGGGCAGGTGCACGTGCACGGCCAGCATGGCGACACCGGGGCATCCTAAGCCGCCCAAAGCTTTCCCCAAGTTTGGCATGGCGAAAAAAATCGAGGCATCCTAAGCCGCCCAAAGAACCCCCAAGCAGTTTGGGGCAAAAACAAAAAAAACAATTCGGGCAGGCCAAACGAGGCCGTCGTGGCTGAACCATCCCGTCTTGGTTATAGACCATTTATGGAAACATGATTGGGGCCGTTTTGGGACACCACACATTGACCGGGGTACATAACAACAGCCCTGGAAACAAGACAATGATCCCAACCCCTGAATGGAAACGGCTGCGTGAAGCTTCCCCAAAGGCAAACAAGACAAGCTGTGGGACACATCCTCATTTCAACTGCCAAAAAGCGGTTTGTCGTTTTTGTGGCTTCAAAAAACAGACAGCCACTGACATGAACAGAATCAACCGCACTAGGGTGCCGGGGGTTCAACTTTCGGTCGAACGCCTTCGACGGTCAAACGCCTTCTTTTCCACCGGCGGTCTTCGCCAGGGCATCCGGGGCAAGTAGATGGCTTAAACTGCCCCAGCAAAAAAGCACACAGCGGCTGTGTGTCTGTGGGTGCTTTTTTTTTTAGGGTCCCCCATTTCAGCTTGGCTTGAATGGGAAACCGAAAGGAAAGCCACAATTATTTTGGTCCCCAAGATTGACCAGGGATGTTGCCATCTACTTCCTTTGTTGCTTGTTCGGTGTCCAAGGCCCTGCAAGAGCGTTTGATGTCAGTCGCATTCTGGAGTCTTTCAAGAAATATCAGGTTCAACTAAACATGGAACAGCATCACGGTAAAAGCGTAGTTGGAGCATATGTTGTTGCATATCTTATTTGGTTTGCCGGAGTTGCTGATCTGTACTACTAGGTCTCCCAGTAGTGCCCTTGTACCCTTTTTGGGGGGAGGGTTCCCCTACTAAAATAGACCAAAGAAAAAAGAATCCACTCCAAATGCACATGCGCCAAAAAAAACACCATCATGTTGAGCCCAGACTAGTGAACCAACAGACGAGTGAACCACCCTTGATGTTCAGGACCGGGCCATTTTCCATTTCAGGGATCAACCAGAGGCCCGAGACCTGGACACCGGTGAAACCCGAAGGCCGGCGGAGACTCTCACCCCGAAAGCCTGCGGCTGGCCCCCCCATCACATGTCTGGGTCGGCCGAACGCACGCGGCTGAAAAAGCCATGTGACCATACATCCAGGCAATACGCATGACCCATCTTGTATGACCATCATGTCAACCTGGCTTGCAGAAAGATTATTTTTCCCCTTTGCGTGTTGATTTTGTTTCCTCCGAAGTGAACATCAGCCACAAGCAGAAAGGTCGCCGCAGAGCTGAGGCCTGGTGTCGGTTTCCAGCCTCTGGGCCCGGGCACTGCGGCACCGAGCGTGCCTGACATTAGGAGAAAAGCGCAAGGTGCGCATGGATCAAAGCCATCGGGTGGTCTGGAAGTGAATCCCCAATGAGGGGACACCTCCGGGTCCACTGAAGTGCTTCTCTTTTTTCATGTTTTTTTTTTTTTTTCGCCAAAAGGGAACACATCCCCAAGTTTCAGATCAAGCAGGGGCAAAAGTAAAATCCGGGGCTCCCAGTACTCTCCTGGAAAACGATTCCTACAATGGGACGATGGGGTTGGCCAGGTGCTCCGGCTTCCTGCCGATGCGGGGGGTGGAGTAGGCGGCCAGCGTCTGCGCGCCCACCGCCTGGCAACGAAGCGAAGCTTCCGACCCTTAGACTTTGGTCGAGACTTGCAGAAACCACAGCGTCGGCCAATGCCAAGCTTGCTCAGATGCCCAGTGGCCATGAGAAAACAAGGGCGTCCTTTTTTGGGTTGGTTGAGTTTAAAGGGAACCCTTCCCAAGAGGAAAAAGGGGCACCACTGGGCAACTGGGCTTGCGATTGAAGCCAGTGCCTCTACGCTAGATCTCGAGGAAACAAGTACTCTGCTTCTTGCTTCGCCGTGGCCGCGCAAATTACGCTTCTGGGTCTGAAATGGCTTCCTCTCTCAATAATATGCCGAAGCTAACACAAGCAACGACTCCAAATGCCCGGCTTCACGTTCTCCCCTTTTGCCCAGCTTCCCACCTGAACCCGCGCTTCTGGTGGGAAGGCCCGATGCTGCTCCAGCTCCAAGTCCAGCTCCTGAGATCTTTGGGACTGGGCAATTCCTGGGGGCCTGGCAAAAAAGTGGGGTAGAAGCCATGTAGCCCGGTGTCTCTAAGTCAAGCTGCTCCACTTGCGACCAGTTGTGAACTGGATTTCCGTGCGTTTTGACCCAAAACCCAGTGAACAATCCAAATCGCAGATCTGACTCACAGATCTGATTTGCTGAGTGTTTTGGTGATTCAAGGAAGGGTGCCACGATTTTGGACACCAAGTGACAGGTCATGGGGAGGTCTTGCACGGCATCTGAGACGTGCCAACATCTGCGAACATTTCCTGCTGGGAAAGTTTGGAGTTGCCCCCCGGACAACCCAGCGTTCCCCTTTGATAACATGTCTGCGAACATTTGAAGAGTGTCGGTGGTTGGCAATGGTCTTTGAGGTTCGTGCACAATGCAGGGAAGGCAAAACTGTCCATTTGGGGTTCTTGTAGTTCCCGCAGGGCCTCACTCCAAACCAGACACACATTTGATGTCCAAAGAGTCTGTAAATTGAAACTACCGACTCTAATATGGGTCTGTCTTTCGGGGGAAGAAGAAAAAGAAAAACCAATTGGTTGGCATGAGGAGACTAAAACGCAAAACCCCTCCCCCCCAAAATATATATATATATATATATACAGTACAAAAAAAAAAAACAAAAAAAACACACACCCATCTCCAAAACCCCTCCCCCCAAACAGAAAAAACATATATCTCCTAAAGCCTCCCACCTCCCACCTCGATCGCCGGGGATGCCTTCTGGCGCAGGGCAGCGCAGCGCAGGCGGAACCGGCGCTCCCTGAGGAGCTGCGCCTCGTGACTCGCCGCCGCGCCGCGAGTGCGCGACTCGAGGCGTGGGAGCCAAGGAAGCGCCAAGGAATCTACGTGCGAGACATGGGAATGAAATGGAAAAGGACGCCCCGGAGGGAAAAACAACAAAAAAGAATGGCGTTTTTCTTTAAGGGAATTCCCTTCCTGGTCATTCTCACATTCTTTCTTGAGCACCAGCAAGTCTACCCTCCAGTTTTTTTGGGAATCAACAGAGAGTCCAGCCTCTTTGGATGGCAATCTCACCTGGGTCAAACTCATGTACGCTTGGCAAGCTATGCCTTTGCCTGGTGCTCCTCCTTCCGCTGGTCCTCCAGCTCTTGCAGTTCCCGCATCTGCTCCTCCTCGCCGAAGAAGCAAGAGATGCTTCTGTGAGGAGCGTTGGCCACCAAGCCCAACTGATCGGAATTGTGTTTCCAGCAAACCACCAAAACCCAAGTGGTGCAGGGATTTTGTCCATCCCCCATGCACAGCAAAGCACCCAATCCCAAGCGGTGCAGGATTTTTGTTTTTGTCCATTCCCCATGCCACAGTATGATTTCAACCAGGCTAGTGAGTTTTGGGCCCGTGATTTCAAGTCAAAGGTCCACCTTGCTGGGCAAGGCGGGCGCTACCCGATTCGTCCTCGGCGCGCTGGCGCTGGCGGCCTGCCACAACACGGCGGGAGTCGAGCAATTCGCTGCTCGCTCCAAGGGGAACTGCACGCAAGGCCCGAAGTCCAAGATGGGAGGACCACCCCGGACTCTCATCACTTACCAGATGGGCGCCCCCACGCTGATGCAGTTCCACCTCCTTCCGCTGGAGCCAGTCTCTGATCCGTGCCTACGCCGAAAAAACCCACGTCCCTTCGGACTTGACGAAACTCTTTTGGAGCTGGCGACTTCTGAATCAGCCTTGAAATTGATGGCTCAAATTGCGGGTCAAAAAGGGTACCCCCAAAATGCCACGGTGGCAAATGGACACATGGACTAAAACCTGCGGTCCCCTGGTAGAAAAACTTTGACCCGTGTGTTTCTTTTTCTTTGAGGGTACCCTTTTCGCTGGATGTCAAGGAGCACCAAAAGGAAAGCCGTGGAACGCCATTTTGGAGGTTGGACTCCTCAAGCAGGAAAGAAGGAACCGGCCACTTCCCTTTGCCTCATCTCCTCCAGACACCCCCAAGCTTTGCTTCAAAGCTCGCCCCTACTGGATGGACGAAATCCATTTCGCACCACTTTGAAACCGTGGTTGAAACCGGAACATGTTTTGCTAGTCGAAGGAAATCGCACCATTCATGGGGAAAGGGAAAAAGCTGGTCCTAGGATGTCCTTGGTGTGGCTTTTGATTTGACTTTCCGATTGGCCTCAGCTGCTTTGCCTTGAACTTGGTTGCTGTTGACCCCCCTGCAAAGAGTTTAACTTTTTGGGGGTGTAGTGGAAAACCCCCTTTATTTCCCAAAAAATTTTCAAGTCTAAAGATCCGTTGCCCAATAGCAGTCCAGTGAATAGCAGTCGAAAGCCAGCAGGGTTTCCACCCCAAGCGCGCGACCGGCTTCACCTGGCCAGCGGTTTCACCCACCCGGGCACCGCCTGCTTGTACAGCTTGGCCTCCTCCAGCTCATCCTCCTCGTCCGACTCCGCCAGCTGGCAACAACCACCCGCTTCAGGCGGGCATCTTGCTGTGCGTGGTCTGATAGATAGTGGATCATATATATATATATGTGTATATACAAATGTGTAATATATATATATATATAAATGTGTATATATATATATATAGGTTATTGTGTTGCGACGAGAAACCAACGATAAAAAACACGGCCAAAACCATGACACAAAAAACAGGAATGGTGTCCACATCGGCTACAAGATCAGATGCAAGTTTCGCACATGCCGGATTGCGGACGCAAGAACTCCCATCCACACCAGCTCAGGATGGACCAGCAAGTGCGCTTAGCCGTCGGATCCTGCACACCGCAGCGCGACTTCTTTTTTTTGAACGGCCCGGCGCGATGGCACCGGCGCCATGTTCAGACCTCCTTCAGCAAGATATTCAAGGAGTCGTTCCCCAAACGGGTTCTTTGGATCAGGAGCTCGTCGTCCACATACGCGACCTTCCGTGTGGCCAGGGCTCTCTCCGCTGTTCGCAGACTTACTCACTGATGGGAGGCAGTGTCTTTACCAGTGTCAACAATGACCCCGAGAACCGATCTTCTCAAGCTATATACGTTCCATCCGTATCACTCACTCAAAAAACAAACCTGAAGTCCAAAGCCTCTCACAAGCCATGAGAGACCACTCTACATGCCCTTGGCTCAACTTCCCACCAAATCCCCGCCATCGTCTCTTCAACTCCGTCCACTCGGCTTTTTCGTCCACCCCCGCCTCGAAAATTCCCGTGGCCGGGGGCAGCGGCAGCGACAGCGGCAGAGGCAGCCGCGTGGAGCTGAACTTGAAGCTCAGCTCCACGCGGAAGGCCTCCTGACAGCTCCGGACCTTCCCTCGTGCGGGGGTTCTGCAGGGTTTTTTTACAAATGGGTTGCCATGATGGCCAATGGAAAAGTGGAAGAAACGGGAAAAAATGGGGTCCTCGGGCCGCACCTTGCTGGGTTATACAGATGAGTGTTCTTTGGGGCAAGGTAGCAATTTGCCAAAATCCGCTCAACGAGTCTCCAAAAGAACTCACAGGGAAGTGACCAATCGATCAGTTTGGTTTCGACATTTGCCACTTTGTAAATCGTTGGCTTTTTTGACCCATGGCTACAAGTGGTTGTTTTATTCCCCAGGAGCTTGAATGAATGGCCAAGCTGCGGGATTGTGAGGTCGGTGGAACTCCCCAATCAGAGCTCTGACGAAATTATCATTCTCACCTCGTCACCTCCTTAATGCAATTCGCCAAACGGATTTACTACCCCGCCCCGTCAGTTACACTCCCCACACAACAAGCCTGCCAAAAAAGTGCCACTTCTTTGGTTTCCATGGAAGTCCCCTGGGCAGGGTATGTGTTCAGAGGAAGCCTGGGAACCCTTTTGTGGGTGGCGTTGAAGGGAATAAGGTTTATTAACTTCCCACCTGGGATTCTGCGGGGCCTAGCTCGAGAACATTCGCTCACCCAACTTAGCTTGCAGAAGGCCGGGCCCCGAGCTCGCAAAACCCGCGAAGCGTGGTGGAGTTTTTTTTTAAGGGGCGCAGCGCACATTCGGCAGCAAGCTAAGTCCAATGTTTCACCCACAGATCTGTGGCCAAAGACCCTTTTCCAAAAATAAATCGATTTGGACGGGCGGTTTTCAAACGACTGCCCGGTTGATTTTGGGGTGCCCGGAATCTCTGCCAAGCCGTCCCTGCCGTGTGTGACCTGCCACAAGGAAATAGGCTCCTTTTCCAACAATAATAAACCGTTTTTGACGGTTTCCAGGCCCACGTCACCCAAGGTTTCTTTCATATGTTAGGGATGGGTTGAAGGCATAATTCTCAAATCTCCACCTCGCACCTAGCTGCCTCGTACCTCGGCTGAGCTCGCTATAAAATGGCCCAGAGTCTTCCTTTCAAGTATCACACTTCAAGCGAAGCCACTTCAAATTGACCAGCCAGAAAGGTCATGCCAATTTCTAAGGACCTCCGATAGACGAAGAAGAGAGCGGTGGGAAGGCAAAGGTCTCGTTTCTTCCCCCAGGTGCAGTGAAGTCGGAAGTTTTTTAATTCCGAGATGGCCGATTCTGAATCAGCATTTCAGAAATGAAGACCTTGCTCTCTGCAAGTTTGATCAAATGCAAAACGAGATGCTGAGCCTCCAAAACGTTCAGAGCGATCTGGGAAGCCAAGGACCAAAACAACGGCCCCCCCCCCCCCCCCCTATTTTTTCAGATTTCGCTTTGCACAGAACAAGGGCAAGGTCTCAAAGTCGAGTCCTCATCACGGGGCTTCCAAGTGCAGTTCACCTCCTGCACCACCTTCCCCAGCGGGGAGAAGAAATCGATCTCGTTCCTCGCGTAGCGGCTGGTGAGGAAGGACTGGCCAACACCTCGGTCGCAGGGTGACTGCTGGGTCCTCCAGTAGAGAGGTTCGAATAAGGGTTCCAACTTTTTTCTGCAGTCTGTTTTAGTAGTGGAACCCTCCCCCAAAAAAGGATAAAAGGGCACTACTGGGGGACCTAGACTGAGACCTGTTGTTTTTGTTTGCAACGTGCATCTGCAAGAAAAGTGGCTGCAAGAGAGTGGTCTTCCCTTCTTCGCAAAGCAATCATCAGCGCCCCTCCCTGGCGCCAGCAAAAGTGGTCTGCGTTTGGATCCGTCCCTTTGCAACGCGTGCCACTCATCCGCCCCCCCCGGGCACCGAATTTGGGCGAGGGCTGCGCCAAGGCGCGGCCGGTTTGCCAGCCCGGCGGCAAGGAGTCCAGCGATGTCCTGAGCCAAAGGAGGTCAAACCAGATCCTTGACATCCGAAGAAATGAAACCGGAGGCCCGGCCTTTCTGGGGAGGCTAACATTCCGATGCATCTAGCCCTGCCCTTCATGCCGAATCGCAGCCTGAGTTCTTGATTTCCAAATGCAAGTTGGAACAACTCTGAAGGCCAGCGGGCTAGGTGGCTCCAGTTCAGAAACCGAAGGGGTCGTTGTGCAAACAAGAGCCACTGGTTTAAAGGGGGGTCACAGAGAGGATGCAGTCAGTGGTCTTAACTAAAGCCTGGCTTCCTAAGGGAAACGAACAGAGATTGGTTGCGTTGCGTTGCGTGCGCTCCAAGGCTCAAATCCGCTGAGGTGCTGTAGATCAGCTTCCAGCTGCCCCGCAGCAGATCCTCCCGCCGGCCCACCGGGCGGAAGCTCTGCGCCAGGCGGTCTACGAGCTCCTCGACCTGCAAAAACGTGGACGGAACAACAACACAATCCATTGGAAAATCTGCAGTTTCAATCTCAAAGAGTTCAAGTCCAAAGATCCAACCAAATGGCCATGGGTCAAAATCCAAATCGTACCCCCGAACATCCCAATCCCCACTAAAATAGCTTCTCAAATGGGTGGTGAATTCACCTACCCCAACATGGTGCCATTGGTTTTGACCCACAGCCACATGTTCTCAACCTTCAACAAATACATGGATGAGGACCAATGGTTGTGAATATCATAGAATTGTGCCGGTTTCTTGACGGTCCTCTAAATTCCAATTGATATTTCACCTGATAATTCTCCAGAATTCTCCAGATGTTGTTTTGCTGTCATCCCCAGCCCCCTCGGCGCCTTCCGCCGGTCCTCCTGGGAGGCCCCGAAGCGCGCGCCCCCGGCCGTGCAGAGCAGCAGCTCGCGCTTGGCGCCCTCCTCGTCCGCGTCCCTTCCGCCGGCGCGGGCGGACCGCGGGCGCCGGGCGCGGACGGCGGCGGCCAGGGCCAGGAGCCGCCAGCCGCGAGCCGCCGGAGCCGCCGGAGCCGCCGGAGCCGTCGGAGCCGTCGGAGCGGTGGCCCGAGGAGCGCTCCGGAGGCTCTGGGTGGCCGCAAGGGCCGGTGGCACGCGCGGGGCTGGCAACAGCTCCATGGCGGGCGGCTCACTTGGAGAGTTGCCGGCGATTTTGGATGCCGCATAACAAGTGACGGACATGACCTGCTGAAATGACAGTGTCAGGACCCTCGCTATCAGCAAAGGGCGACATACATTCCTCTTCGCATGTCTTGACATATAGCCATCGGCGTGCTCGCAGTCCCATAGCATCAGCGTTTTCATTTTTCTTCGACTTCCATGGAGGGTCTTCAAGTTCTGCGTTCGTCTGCTGTCAGTACAGCTCACTTCTCCCGCTACCGCTGCGGACTCAGTTGTGTTCAGTTTTTGGGCCATGTTCCCATGAGATGAATATGCAAGAGGGCCATCCCCCAACTTTCATCTGCAGGGTTTATTCTAGCATTCTCCGCGTGCCACCTTTCCGAGTTGCGAACTCTGGGAGTTGACAAGTTGAATGCAAGGTGATTTGAACACCGCTCAGGCTCATGCAAGACAACATTTCCCGCACGCCAACATAGGGCAACATGCATCCCCTGTCCAAAACCCCTCGCTGAACGAACCGAAGAGCAGTTGGGTGCCCAAGCCAACAGCGCCGCGGCCTTTTCCGCTTTGGCCTCTTTGGGCCTCGCGTCGCCGCATCGCCCGAGGACTGTGCCCGTTGGGCGGGGTGCAAACGTGGACTCCTTTTGTCAAGACGGCGTTGGCCCCAAAAAACGTAACTCGGGATGTGCAACCTGCGAAACGCCAACGAAAACTTGCACTCATATTTTCAGGCTTGAGCACTACCCGTCACTTCCCAATCAAGGGGGTCAAACCTGTTTTCGGAGGGGTTCCTCATGTCTTTCACCGCCTAAACTTCGGCAAACAAGAGAGGAGGAAAGCTCGTCTCTGGCCATGTGGGTGTTTTGGGGTGCCCGGACCTCCGCTTGCGCCCCCCCTCTTCGCACGAGGCGTCAGGCGCGTCTCAGGCGCCGCTCAGGCGCCGAGGGCGAGGCCGGCGGCCTGGAGCCACTCGGCGGCCTGGGCGGCGTCGGGCTCCGTGCCCTCCAGCGTGGCCTCGGAGTCCAAGGACGGCCCCGCGCCGAAGTGGGTCTCCAGGGAGGAGGCCAGCACCAGCCTCAAGCGCTCAGGCGCCAGAGGCTTGGTTCGGAGGCGCAGCCT